ACGTTCCCCAACATGCCCCCCTTTAGTCCCGGTTGGTTTCACGAACCAGGACCAATACTCTGGGTATGTAAGTAGCACTTATGAATTTTCAGAACCGCCCATCCCCACTTCGATCTCTCCTCCTCCTATCCCCCCAATGGTAGTGAATCCATCCACGATGCTGGCAGGCTGCCCGAGCTAGCTGTCGCGGACGCCCTCGCCGCGCCCTGTCCCCGATGCCGCCGATCCTCGTGTCCCTCTGCCCTGGGCCGGACGCAGCCGCGCCCCTGCCCCGTATGCTTTCTCATCGCCGTCGCCGCGCCCTGCCCTGTCGTATGCTCCAAAGAAGGAGGATCACCATCGCACGGGGTCAGGTGGCTACCTCAAAGCCCGGCCGTTGTGGGACAAGGCTGAAAGTGACCTGATTGCTAAAGGGGTCGAACCAGAGACATTGAACTGGCCAGACCATTCAAGGACTTGGTTCTTCGGGGTTGGGGGGACTTTGGACCCTGAAATAGGGAACTGATGTTGGACGGACGAGCAACTTGCAACACCCATCACAAAACTTCAGGCAGCAATCAAGGAAGCGCGGGAAGGGACGTTCATTCCCGACAGAGAGAACAACGAGCTCACACTGGCCCTCGGGAATCCTGAGCACCCTAGACGAACACGAGGCACGCCAGGCTCCGTTGCATGGAAGGTTGGGTTTCCCAACGCAGGCGGTTACAAAACCCAAGAGAGGAGGAGGAAAGTGGAGCTGAGCGAACTGCAAAAGCTTCAGGCAAGGGTACGAAAGCTAGAGGAACGACAAGCTGTTGAGAACCAGCGAGATCCTGCCCAAGCTACCCCAGAAGCTACCCCGCCATCTTAGTGGAGAAGCAGCATGGCTTCCACCAAGCTCGTTCAGCAGCTTGACTTCACAGCTCCTAGCTACCCCGTGGATGCTATCACAGAGTCACACCAGTGCCAGCTTATGATGCAATGGCATCACCTCAAAGTCAAGGCGGCTGTCGGCTCTGTGTTCCCTCCTGAACCCGATGCAACTTCTCACTGCCTTCCGATTCCACAAGGCTATGCTGTTGTGATGGTGGATGAAATAACAGAGGAATTTGAGGAGCTCCAGCTTGACCACCATACAGGTGAAGGGGAGACTCAGCTGGGTCTTGCTCTGAAGACTCCATGTCTATGGCGGAAGGAGCACATCAAGCTTCTGAACTTCACGCCTCCGCCTCCTCCTCCTCCTCCTCCGGCGAGTCAGATGGGCACTCCGCCTCCTACTCCTCCTCCTCCGGCGAGTGATCAGGACACTTCGCCTCCTGCTCCGGCACGTGAGGGCAGCAGTACTCCCCCTCCTTCTCCGGCTGCTCCGGCGCGTCCGAGCAGCCCACCTCCTCCTTCGCCTTGTTGGCAACGGTGGAACACAAACGTCGCCGTTCCGGCTGCTCCGGCGCGTCATAGTACTCCGCCTCCTTCTTCTCTGCCTCGTAAGCAACGAAAGAAGATAGCTGCAGCCGCTCCGGCATCTAGCAGTACAGCCAGAGGCAGGAGGCAATATAGATTCGGTCCTTCTCTCAAGCCTCTAGAGAAGTTACCATACGAGATGAGCAAGGAGGAAAACAAGAAGATCTATGAAGCCCAAGTGAAGGACTTTTTTAAAACGCAAAGAGCTAAGAAACATCCACCTCCGGAGGAGAAGATAGATCCGGTGAAAGCGAAGCGCACTTTAGATGCCATGAAGCGACCACCACCGCCTCTGTTGCATGCCAACTATGAGCGCATTTTTGAAAGGACATATAAGGAAGCGGAGCGGTCGGGAAGTACTTGCAGTGATCAAAGGTTAGCAGAACGAAGAAGTGGGAAAGAATTCCCCAGCTCGGCGAACAAGCGAACCAATCGTGCCCCCCTATCAAGATGTCTAGCGATATCGTCGCTAATCATCCGGGGATGCTGCCCGGTACCAATCTTGGAGATTACCTGCCCGACGATGAAAATTTTGATAGAATGGAGATGGACGAATTCAAATACCGGCACAGGAAGCCTCTCGTCAAACCTGGTCATCCTCCTCTAACAACGATGATGCGAAGATTCCATGATTGGTACATGGACATCTGCAGCAAGTCTGGGAAGGATACTTTGACGATGAGAGTTAAAGAGGAGCACGACCTCGTTGGAATTGATCTGTTGTCTGTTCCATATGAGGAGTTCTTCTGGTTTTTTAATCAAAAGGCCCTCGATAAAATAATCGTCACTTGCTACTGTGTGTAAGTACTACTTCTGTAATTAAGTCTCTATATATAGCTCTGCTCTTTCGTTGCATGTATATATAATTAACCTCACTATATTATGCAGATTGAAGATCGCCGAATGCAAGAAAAGACAAATCGGTGATATTGGGTTCATTAACACAAATCTCATAGATGAATGGAATGTTAAATATGATGCAAAACAAACCGAGGCCAACTTGCTACGATCGGTACTTCGAAATCAAAACAAAGATATAATACTCTTTCCTTACGAATTCAAGTGAGTGTTACTGTCTTGTGCATATTCGGTTTCCCTTATTACTCGAGGTTATAGTAATGTAATTGATGAGTTATGCATGTGTGCGCAGCTTCCACTTTATTCTGCTAGAGATTAAGCTTGAGCAGGGACTAGTAATCGTCATAGACTCAAGACCAAAAGATCCCGAGGAGTATACGGCCATGACTAAAATGCTCGAGAAGTAAGTTCAATCGATCATTATCGCACCATATCGGCAACTTTGTTCATTTCATGATATCAAGTGATTATTTTCTTTGTCTGGCAGGGTTTGGAAAAAATTCACCGCAGAAGCTCTGGGACTGCCGGGGGAGCTGTGATTTGAACACCCGAAAGTAAGTACTAATAGCTGGTTCCGCGCATCTCCCATTGATTCTACCTAGTTTCATCAATATCATTTAGCATGCTTGCTTATCAGTTTGATTGACCTCTATTTCTTGTAAAGTGGTTGTGGCAGGAACCCGGGAATAATTACTGTGGATACTACATTTGCGAGTTCATCCGCCACATGACCTGTGAGCGGGGCTACTCTAAAAAACAATATGAATTGCGTAACAATAATATTCACAATTTTATTTTATTACTATCATTTGTGTTCAGTTTCAGTCATATATATGTATTGACCCCCACTTCAAATTAGATGTTTCAGATGCAGAATGAACTCCTACCACAAGATCGCATACGAGCAATTCAACAGGAATTGGCGGGATTCTTTCTTGACCACGTCATCGGTAGAGACGGGGAATACCATGTGGAACTTGAGTTCAGATGTTAGGGGGTTGTAAGAGATCTTATATATATTGTATATATGTAACCAGTAGCGCCGGATAGATATACGAAAACTTGTTGTTCGACCAATCTCTCGGAGAAGGAGAGGTCGATCACTTCTCTCTGTATATATTCATGACGATCTTCTGTAATTAATGGTTTCCTTCATTTGCTTACTAGCTAGCTAGCGTGTCAAGTCCTCTCTATACGTATAGTACGTAGCGTCGACCAAACACGAAGATAAGAGAGGACACTTCTCACTATTAGCTAGCTAACACAATATATGAAACCCCTAAATTAACCC